AAGTAATGTTTGCTACCAATTTTTAAATTACCGAGGAAAATGGCATAATTTCCAAAATTTTTCAAAAAAATAATCAAAATAGACTAAAGCGCTATCTTACGGAAAAATGAAACAACTTTTGTGATATTTCTCCAAATAAAATGGGAAAATATTTTCGAAAAATTTTACAAAAAAGTGCTAGCATATGGAGAATTCGGCGCATATTATATAATATTAGAGGAAAATTCCCAAAAATTTTGCAAAAAAAAAATTGAAAAGGGCTGTACTCAAAAGATAAAAGTTCCATTATATGAAAAATTCGTCGCATACTAGGAGTCTGTAATCACTTTGCCTATATTTCTTAAAATAACAGACGAAAGAAAAGAAATAATTTCCAAAAATTTTCCAAAAAATGTGGAAACAAATTCTATTCAAAAGAAAAATAGCAATAATAGGAAGAATTCTTCGTAGATTATGAATCTAATGTGATATTTGCTATATGTATTCTTTTAACTAACGAAGAAAAATGGGAAAATTATTTTCCAAAAATTTCACAAAAAAGTGCTAGCATATGGAGAATTCGTCGTATATTACAAACATGAAGAAAACAATTTTTTACGTAATGTATAAATATCGGATTTGCAGTAATGTTTGCCATATCTCTTTAAATAATAGAAGGAAATGGCACAATTTCCAAAAATCTTGCAAAAAAAAATGGAAAGGGCTATATGCAAGAGATAAAAACTCTAGTATATGAAAAATTCATCGCATACTAGGAGCCTGTAATTAGTTTGCCTATATTTCTTAAAATAACAGACGAAAGGAAAAAAATAATTTCCAAAAAATTTCCAAAAAATGTGGAAACAAATTCTATTCAAAAGAAAAATAGCAATAATAGGAAGAATTCTTCGTAGATTATGTATCTAATGTGATATTTGCTATATGTATTCTTTTAATTAACGAAGAAAAATGGGGAAATAATTTCCAAAAATTTTCCAAAAAATGTGAAAACAGATCCTATTCAAACGAAAAAAGCTCTATTTTACAAAGAATTCATTGTAAATTACGAATCTGGTGACATTTGCATATTCCTTCAATTAACAAAGGAAAATGGAAAAATAATATTCAAAAAGTTTCCAAAAATATATTAGAACAGATCCCATTCAAAAGACAAAAGCGCTAAGGTATAGCAACGTCTTCCTTTCGTACCAGAAGTAATATTTGCTATATATGTATCTTTAATTAAAAGAAGAAAGATTGCATTATTTCCAAAAATTTTCCAAAAAAAAAAAGTTGAAAGGGCTAAAATTTTCAAAAAATTTCCAAAAATTGGCTTGAAAAAAGCGGTAGTGTATAGAAAATTCTATCTTTCGAACCAGAAGTAGTTTGTTATAAATTTTTAAATTACAGAGGAAAATGGCACAATTTCCAAAAATCTTCCAAAAAAAAGATTGAAAAGCGCTATACGCAAAAGATAAAAATTATCGTACATGGAAAATTCGTGGCATATTAGCCTGTAATTACTTTGGCTATATTTCTTAAAATAACAGACGAAAGGAAAAAAATAATTTCCAAAAAATTTCCAAAAAATGTGGAAACAAATTCTATTCAAAAGAAAAAATTGCAATAATAGGAAGAATTCTTCGTATATTATGAATTTAATGTGATATTTGCTATATGTATTCTTTTAATTAACGAAGAAAAATGGGGAAATAATTTCCAAAAATTTTCCAAAAAATTTGAAAACAAATCCTATTCAAACGGAAAAAGCTCTATTTTACAAAGAATTCATTGTAAATTACGAATCTGTGACATTTGCATATTCCTTCAATTAACAAAGGAAAATGGAAAAATAATATTTAAAAAGTTTCCAAAAATATATTAGAACAGATCCCATTCAAAAGACAAAAGCGCTAAGGTATAGCAACGTCTTCCTTTCGTACCAGAAGTAATATTTGCTATATATGTATCTTTAATTAAAAGAAGAAAGATTGCATTATTTCCAAAAATTTTCCAAAAAAAAAAGTTGAAAGGGCTAAAATTTTCAAAAAATTTCCAAAAATTGGCTTGAAAAAAGCGGTAGTGTATAGAAAATTCTTTCTTTCGAACCAGAAGTAGTTTGTTATAAATTTTTAAATTACAGAGGAAAATGGCACAATTTCCAAAAATCTTCCAAAAAAAAGATTGAAAAGCGCTATACGCAAAAGATAAAAATTATCGTACATGGAAAATTCGTGGCATACTAGCCTGTAATTAGTTTGGCTATATTTCTTAAAATAACAGACGAAAGGAAAAAAATAATTTCCAAAAAATTTCCAAAAAATGTGGAAACAAATTCTATTCAAAAGAAAAAATTGCAATAATAGGAAGAATTCTTCGTATATTATGAATTTAATGTGATATTTGCTATATGTATTCTTTTAATTAACGAAGAAAAATGGGGAAATAATTTCCAAAAATTTTCCAAAAAATGTGAAAACAAATCCTATTCAAACGGAAAAAGCTCTATTTTACAAAGAATTCATTGTAAATTACGAATCTGGTGACATTTGCATATTCCTTCAATTAACAAAGGAAAATGGAAAAATAATATTCAAAAAGTTTCCAAAAATATATTAGAACAGATCCCATTCAAAAGACAAAAGCGCTAAGGTATAGCAACGTCTTCCTTTCGTACCAGAAGTAATATTTGCTATATATGTTTTTTTTATTTAAAAGAAGAAAGATTGCATTATTTCCAAAAATTTTCCAAAAAAAAAAGTTGAAAGGGCTAAAATTTTCAAAAAATTTCCAAAAATTGGCTTGAAAAAAGCGGTAGTGTATAGAAAATTCTTTCTTTCGAACCAGAAGTAGTTTGTTATAAATTTTTAACTTACAGAGGAAAATGGCACAATTTCCAAAAATCTTCCAAAAAAAAGATTGAAAAGCGCTATACGCAAAAGATAAAAATTATCGTACATGGAAAATTCGTGGCATATTAGCCTGTAATTACTTTGGCTATATTTCTTAAAATAACAGACGAAAGGAAAAAAATAATTTCCAAAAAATTTCCAAAAAATGTGGAAACAAATTCTATTCAAAAGAAAAAATTGCAATAATAGGAAGAATTCTTCGTATATTATGAATTTAATGTGATATTTGCTATATGTATTCTTTTAATTAACGAAGAAAAATGGGGAAATAATTTCCAAAAATTTTCCAAAAAATGTGAAAACAGATCCTATTCAAACGAAAAAAGCTCTATTTTACAAAGAATTCATTGTAAATTACGAATCTGGTGACATTTGCATATTCCTTCAATTAACAAAGGAAAATGGAAAAATAATATTCAAAAAGTTTCCAAAAATATATTAGAACAGATCCCATTCAAAAGACAAAAGCGCTAAGGTATAGCAACGTCTTCCTTTCGTACCAGAAGTAATATTTGCTATATATGTATCTTTAATTAAAAGAAGAAAGATTGCATTATTTCCAAAAATTTTCCAAAAAAAAAAGTTGAAAGGGCTAAAATTTTCAAAAAATTTCCAAAAATTGGCTTGAAAAAAGCGGTAGTGTATAGAAAATTCTATCTTTCGAACCAGAAGTAGTTTGTTATAAATTTTTAAATTACAGAGGAAAATGGCACAATTTCCAAAAATATTCCAAAAAAAAGATTGAAAAGCGCTATACGCAAAAGATAAAAATTATCGTACATGGAAAATTCGTGGCATACTAGCCTGTAATTAGTTTGGCTATATTCCTTAAAATAACAGACGAAAGGAAAAAAATAATTTCCAAAAAATTTCCAAAAAAATGTGGAAACAAATTCTATTCAAAAGAAAAAATTGCAATAATAGGAAGAATTCTTCGTATATTATGAATTTAATGTGATATTTGCTATATGTATTCTTTTAACTAACGAAGAAAAATGGGGAAATAATTTCCAAAAATTTTCCAAAAAATGTGAAAACAGATCCTATTCAAACGAAAAAAGCTCTATTTTACAAAGAATTCATTGTAAATTACGAATCTGGTGACATTTGCATATTCCTTCAATTAACAAAGGAAAATGGAAAAATAATATTCAAAAAGTTTCCAAAAATATATTAGAACAGATCCCATTCAAAAGACAAAAGCGCTAAGGTATAGCAACGTCTTCCTTTCGTACCAGAAGTAATATTTGCTATATATGTATCTTTAATTAAAAGAAGAAAGATTGCATTATTTCCAAAAATTTTCCAAAAAAAAAAGTTGAAAGGGCTAAAATTTTCAAAAAAATTCCAAAAATTGGCTTGAAAAAAGCGGTAGTGTATAGAAAATTCTTTCTTTCGAACCAGAAGTAGTTTGTTATAAATTTTTAAATTACAGAGGAAAATGGCACAATTTCCAAAAATCTTCCAAAAAAAAGATTGAAAAGCGCTATACGCAAAAGATAAAAATTATCGTACATGGAAAATTCGTGGCATACTAGCCTGTAATTACTTTGGCTATATTTCTTAAAATAACAGACGAAAGGAAAAAATAATTTCCAAAAAATTTCCAAAAAATGTGGAAACAAATTCTATTCAAAAGAAAAAATTGCAATAATAGGAAGCATTCCTCGTATATTATGAATCTAATGTGATATTTGCTATATGTATTCTTTTAATTAACGAAGAAAAATGGGGAAATAATTTCCAAAAATTTTCCAAAAAAAATAATTTAAAGGGCTAAAATTTTCAAAAAATTTCCAAAAATTGGTTTGAAAAAAGCGGTAGCGTATAGAAAATTCTTTCTTTCGAACCAGAAGTAGTTTGTTATAAATTTTTAAATTACAGAGGAAAATGGCACAATTCCCAAAAATCTTCCAAAAAAAAAAATTGAAAAGTACTATACTCAAAAGATAAAAATTCTAGTATATGGAAAATTCGTCGCATACCAGCCTGCAATTACTTTGACTATATTTCTTTTTTTTTTTTTTAAATCGCCTGGGCCATTGTTTTTTTTAAGAGTTAGAATCTTCTTATGTCAAAGACTACAAAAATAAAAAGCTTTTTATCGTTTCAATTTTTTTTTTTATTACTAAAATGATTTCTGTTGTAAACACAAACACATGCACTAGGCACAAGAAGCGGTTTATATTTGAGCTTTCCGTCGTTGTCCAGAACTAAAAATTGTAAGTGTTGGTAGAGCTGTTTGCAATGCGTGTTAAAATCGAAAATTCCAGATTTGGAACATTGCTCGTTTTCCTTCCTGAAAATTGCACCCAAATTAATCACCGTATGCTATTTTGAATTACCGACACAGAAATAAATAAACACGACTACTTACACACAAATTTCGAAGACGACCTGTTGTTCGAAGACTTTTGGCACATTTACTATTGTTAAGTTGTGTTCTGGTTGGTGCGTTGGAGTCCTGGTTATAACTTTCGAACGGCACAAATTTTCTTCACGACTTGGAGCAACATAGTGTGCCCTCATGAGAACTTCATTTTGTCTTGCAGGCACGGTTTTTTTCGCCGGTTCGATCAGTTTTCCCTTAATATTGAACCATTCGTGTTTCTTTTCCGACAGCAAGGTTTTGATAGTTTCTGTTGGATATTTGCCGGTGTAGTTGTTGCACAAATACTTGCATCTGTGTTTTACGCTAACTAGCTGTGACTGAAGAGAAAGAGACTTAGATGGATATGTACTTAGAGACGCATTTGCTACTCACCGGACAGGTTATGGCGATTAATATCACTATCAACAACGAATGGTACATGATGTCTGAATTTGTGAGGGAATCACACAGCGAAGAACGCGGAATTACAATTAGGAAACTCGGGGACTTGTCTTACAATTTATACATAATTTAACCACACTTCCTGTGAAGTTTGTTTACTAAATTAGTAAGCGTTTAAACGTCAGTGTTACAAAAAAGCAACAAGGAATTCCCCTGGTGGGGCTAAGTTTTCAAAATGATTTGTGTTCCTTGTTTTACTTACAAATTGTTATTTAATTTGGAAAAAGATTAGATCAAGACTAAACATAAAAATTTGCTTCATTACACAAGCAAACAATGTCGCATATCGTTCGCATTACATTCAAGCAAGGAATGTGGCAGCTATCCGACTAAGGTTGCAGATTCCAGGCGAATCGATATTTTAGTGTGACGATCAAGGTAGTCAGAGCGAAGAATAAATCGATTTTGTGCTCCCTTTGTATGGAGTTTTTTTACCAGTTTAAATTTTCTTTTTTTGTGAATTTTTTGTTATGACTGCGAACAATTCTTTTTTCTTAATTATTTCTTATTTTTTTTTAATACCGTTCCTCCGTGGCCGCCTTCTGTGGAGAGCGTCGAAGCTGCCAAAATTTTTGGCTCAATGGCTTAAATGTGAAACACGTTATTTTCCTGGTGGGTTTATTTTCGCAATTGCCTTTAATTTTTGTTTACTTTTTGTTTACAGTGGTTGATGATCTAAGTCTGGTGTAACATTTACGTATACAAAAATATCTAACCTTTGATAACCCTGCTAGATATGGTAGGGTCTATGATTTTCCTTCATTTTCTGGGTTTTTACTGTTTCCGGGAAAATTTTCGCAGTTTTATGCAGATGTGCTTCGGCAACCCGGGAAAAAAATGGTTGAAAGTTATTTCGACACAATTTTCCTGAAGTACAGTCCCACAAATCTTGCTTTTTCAAAAATTAGAAAATTTAATTTAGCGAAATTTTACTTTTTTCTGGTAAACTCAATGCAGTAAAAATAATATAGAAAGTACTAGTCACAGTGTAAGAAAAAAAAGGTTTTACCCTCTTAAAAAAACACTTGACGCCCCGTGAAGCCCCTAATAAGGTGGCACCTTCTTTAAAAAAAGGCAGTTGGGACCCCCGAGAAGGTTTCACATTCTTAAAAAAAAAACAATGGAGCCTCTGAGAAGGTTTTACTTTCTTAAAAAAAAGATAGTTGGGACCCAGAAAAGATTTCACCTTTTTAAAAACAAGACATTTGAAATCCCCGAGAAGGTTTCACATTAAAAAAAAATAATGGGGCCCCTGAGAAGGTTTCAAATTCTCAAAAAAGAAACAATGGAGCCCCTGAGAAGGTTTCACGTTCTCAAAAAAAACAATGGAGCCCCTGAGAAGGTTTTACTTCTTAAAAAAAGAAACAATGGAGCCTCTGAGAAGGTTTTACTTTTTTAAAAGAAACAATGGAGTCCTTGGGAAGGTTTCATATTCCTAGAAAAAAGACAGTTGGGGGCCCGAGAAGGTTTCACATTCTTAAAAAAACAACAATGGGTCCCTTGAGAAGGTTTCATATTCTTAATAAAAACAATAGGACCCCTGAGAAGGTTTCACTTTCTTAAAAACAAGACATTTGAAGCCCTGGAGGTTTCACAATCTTAAAAAAAAGATAGTTGGCGGCCCGAGAAGGTTTCACATTTTTAAAAAAGCAACAATGAGTCGGCTGAGAAGGTTTCATATTCTTAATAAAAACAATAGGGTCCCTGAGAAGGTTTCACTTTCTTAAAAACAAGACATTTGAAGCCCTCGAGAAGGTTTCACAATTTAAAAAAAATGATATTTGGGGACCCGAGAAAGTTTCACATTCTTAAAAAAAAACAATGGGTCCCCTGAGAAAGTTTCACATTTAAAAAAAAAAAAACAATGGAGCCTCTGAGAAGGTTTTACTTTCTTAAAAAAAAGACTTTTGAGACCCAGAGAAGATTCCACCTTTTTAAAAACAAGACATTTGAAGACCCCGAGAAGGTTTCACATTAAAAAAAAATAATGGGACCCCTGAGAAGGTTTCAAATTCTTAAAAAAGAAACAATGGAGCCCCTGAGAAGGTTTCACGTTCTCAAAAAAAAAACAATGGAGCCCCTGAGAAGGTTTTACTTTTTAAAAAAAGAAACAATGAAGCCCCTGAGAAGGTTATACTTTTTTAAAAAGAAACAATGGAGCCCTTGGGAAGGTTTCATATTCTTAAAAAAACGACAGTTGGGGGCCCGAGAAGGTTTCACATTCTTAATAAAAACAATAGGGCCCCTGAGAAGGTTTCACTTTCTTAAAAACAAGACATTTGAAGCCCCCGAGAAGGTTTCACATTAAAAAAAAATAATGGGACCTCTGAGAAGGTTTCAAATTTAAAAAAAAAAACAATGGAGCCCCTGAGAAGATTTCACGTTCTCAAAAAAAAAAACAATGGAGCCCCTGAGAAAGTTTCACTTTTTTAAAATAGAAACAATGGAGCCCCTGAGAAGGTTTCACTACCTTAAAAAAAAGACAGTTGGGGGCCCGAGAAGGTTTCACATTCTTAAAAAAACAACAATGGGTCCCCTGAGAAGGTTTCACTTTCTTAAAAAAGAAACAATGGAGCCCCTGAGAAGGTTTCACTTTCTTAAAAAAAACAATGGAGTCCCTGAGAAGGTTTCACTTTCTTAAAAAAGAAACAATGGAGCCCCTAAGAAGGTTTCACATTCTTAAAAAATAACAATGGAGCAACTGAGAAGGTTTCACATTCTTAAAAAAGCAACAATGGGTCGCCTTAGAAGGTTTCACATTCTTAAAAAAAAAACAATGGGTTCCCTGAGAAGGTTTCACATTCTTAAAAAAAAACAATGGCGCCCTTGAGAAGATTTCATATACTTAAAAAAAAGACAGTTGGGGGCCCGAAAAGGTTTCACATTCTTAAAAAAAAAACAATGGCGCCCCTGAGAAGGTTTCATATACTTAAAAAAAAGACAGTTGGGGGCCCGAGAAGGTTTCACATTCTTAAAAAAACAACAATGGAGCCTCTGAGAAGGTTTCACATTCTTAAAAAAAAACAACGGGGCCCCGGAGAAGGTTTCACATTCTTAAAAAAACAACAATGGGTCCCCTGAGAAGGTTTCACTTTCTTAAAAAAGAAACAATGGAGCCCCTGAGAAGGTTTCACATTCTTAAAAAATAACAATGGAGCAACTGAGAAGGTTTCACATTCTTAAAAAAGCAACAATGGGTCGCCTTAGAAGGTTTCACATTCTTAAAAAAAAAACAATGGGTCCCCTGAGAAGGTTTCACATTCTTAAAAAAAAAACAATGGCGCCCCTGAGAAGGTTTCATATACTTAAAAAAAAGACAGTTGGGGCCCGAGAAGGTTTCGCATTCTTAAAAAAACAACAATGGAGCCTCTGAGAAGGTTTCACATTCTTAAAAAAAACAACGGGGCCCCGGAGAAGGTTTCACTTTCTTAAAAAAAGACAGTTGGGGACCCAAGAAGGTTTCATATTCTTAAAAAAAAGACAGTTGGGCCCCGAGAAAGTTTCACATTCTTAAAAAAAAAACAATGGCTCCCCTGAGAAGGTTTCACATTCATAAAAAAAAGCAATGGAGCCCCTGAGAAGGTTTCATATTCTTAAAAAAAGACAGTTGGGGGCCCGAGAAGGTTTCACATTTTTAAAGAAATAACAATGGGTCCCCTGAGAAGGTTTCACTTTCTTAAAAAAGAAACAATGGAGCCCCTGAGAAGATTTCAAATTCTTAAAAAAAAAACAATGGAGCCCCTGAGAAGGTTTCATTTTCTTAAAAAGAAACAATGGAGCCCCTGAGAAGGTTTCACATTCTTAAAAAAACAACAAGTGAGCCTCTGAGAAGGTTTCACATTGTTAAAAAACAACGGGGCCCCGAAGAAGATTTCACTTTCTTAAAAAAAAGACAGTTGGGGGCCCAAGAAGGTTTCACATTCTTAAAAAAGCAACAATGGGTCGCCTGAGAAGGTTTCATATTCTTAATAAAAACAATAGAGCCCCTGAGAAGGTTTCACATTCTTAAAAAAAAGACAGTTGGGGCCCGAGAAAGTTTCACATTCTTAAAAAAACAACAATGGGTCCCCTGAGAAGGTTTCATATTCTTAATAAAAACAATAGGGTCCCTGAGAACTTGAGAAGGTTTCACTTTTTTAAAAACAAGACATTTGAAGCCCCCGAGAAGGTTTTACGATCTTAAAACAAAGATAGTTGGGGGCCCGACAAGGTTTCACATTCTTAAAAAACAGCAATGGGCCCCTTGAGAAGGTTTTATAGTCTTAATAAAAACAATAGGGCCTCTGAGAAGGTTTCACTTTCTTAAAAACAAGACATTTGAAGCCCCCGAGAAGGTTTCATAATCTTAAAAAAAAGACAGTTGGGGGCCCGAGAAGGGTTCACATTCTTAAAAAAACAACAATGGGTCGTCTGAAAATGTTTCATATTCTTAAAAAAACAATGAGGGTGGCTAGGATGAATAAATTTAGACCACCCAGCTTTATTTATAAACAACGACGTGATAGCAAAACACATCTGTGCGTGATGTTCGATGTCCCGCACGCTGTTGAATGCGCCAAGGTCATCAAAAAAAAAAAATTATGAGTGCAAAAAATTTATTTACAGCACATTATCGACGGGAATACATTACATCGGAAGAATGTCACGTAAACATTTGTTTGATTTGAATGAGTTTATCGCCCCAAAACAGATGATTAAAAGGATTCATAAGATTCATTGAACAAAATATTCTGAATCTTATTATTATAATTCTTACCGTATCATTATTTTTAATCAATCAGTTTACTCAAGATTTCAAAGTATTCAGTTTGGCAATTCTTGATTTAATCAGTAAAATAAAGTGACTCAGTCATTAATTATTTTCACACACCCCGTATAAGCAAATCTAAAAAATATTTATGCAGTGTTAAATCACAATTATAGACTCACCATACTTTGCACAATGCACATTTACGATAGTATTTTTTCGGAAAAATTTTTGCGTGATCAATTTTTTAAGGGGGGATAGGAAAATATGTTTTGATCAAAAATTTAACATGCCTATGATAACTTTAAAACATCTCCAATATT